CTTTGGCATTTTGTTTTATTTTGTTAAGAACAGGGCATCCCTAATCCAAAAATCCAAAATCTGAAACGCACCAAAATGAGAAACTTTTTGAGTGCTGAAACGAAGCCACGTGTGGAAAATTCCGCACCTGACCTTATGAGATGGGATGCAGTCAACACACAGTCAAAACTTTATTTCATGCACAAACTATTTAAAAATATTGTGTGAAATTAGCTTCAGGCTTTGCGTATAAGGTGCGTATAATATACATGAAACGAACGAATTTCACACTTAGGCTTGGGCCCCATCCCCAAGACAATCGCAAATATTCCACAACCTGAAAAAATCCCCAATCCAGAGCACTCGTGGTAGCAAGCATTTCGGACGAGGGTTATTCCACCTGTAATAATTTAAAACAATAGAAAACAGACAAGTGCAAAGGATAGGACAGGCCCGCGTGGAGACATGGCCCTGTGGTCACCGTCTCGCGGTTCCTGCCCACTCGGCCTATTCAGCAGACATGAACAGATGTCCACATTTTGCCATATTTGCTTGAGATTTTAAAAACAGAAATATTAATAAGATATTAAAGATAGAAGTGAAGCCTGTCATATTCTGTACCCTGGAACAAACCCCACCATGGACTTGGTCTGAATCCAGTCCCGGCTTTGTTATACACGTGCACACACACCTCCCATATGCATATACTTACATGTACACAGACACACGTATGTGTCATATACATATATATACATAAATTTTACAAAATATGGTTTATACGTTTTAAAATTTATATAAGCAGTATCAGTAGCATAATATTCTACTACTTGCTTTTTTAACTCACTGCTGCGTTTGAGATTTATTTGTGCCCGAGCCCACGCCTTTTACCTGCTGTATAGTATTCTACCACACAACGCCCCACCCCCTGCACAATTTATTTACCCGTCGCCTACTGACAGCCGTCTGAGTCCTGCCCGTTGGCTATTTAAATCAGAACTGGCTTTTAATCCACTTGGGTCCCAGTAGAGTCACACAAGCAGTTTATGCTTCACCTCAGATCAGGCGTCACCGTGATGCTGGGGGACACCCAGCAGGTCGACTCCTGCCCTCTCGGATCCTAACCTGACGTCAGAGTCTTCCGGCCTCTTCTCTGAGCCGCGCCGGCTGCGGCTGGAAATGTTCATATATGGCGCTGTGACTAACCTGGGACTCTGAGGAACCCTGCGTTCTTGGTCTCATTCCCAGCGAGCAGCGCACCGAGGTCCTCCCCACGCGTCCCAGGGGCTCTGCCTTCGGAGGGGGCGGCCGGGTCTCACCCGCTGCGAAGCAAGCCCAGCCTCTGCTCTCTGCGCCAGGGTTATTTTTATCTGAGCGTGGGCTCGGTCAGGACCCTGGAGGGTTGCCAGGGGGCAGCGACGGGAACCGCAGCGTTCCCATAGCTCTCCGGCCCGCGCTCTGCCTGCTCGTGCCAGCGTTCCTGCTTCCTGGGAAGCCCGTCCCGACCTCGGTGCATGTGCGCCCCTGAGGACTCCCTCCTCGGGCTGCCGTTTTGCAGTCCCAGCCGACGCGACAGGCACACACCTGGGTGAGCTATGAGGGTGAAGACTAGGGAAGGCTTTTGTTCGAAGAACTGAGCCCCTCGGAGTCCCGGACGGGTCAGCTGGACACATGGCTACCGCCCTTCCCCTCCCCCTTCTTTGAACGAAAGCCACCCTGATGTGGTCGTTGCTTACTAATTACCCACGGGAACAACCAACGTATCCTGCGGGGGCCGTGATCAGACGGCCTCGAGCAATGACGGGTCCGATGGGGCCCGTCAACCGCTTTTGGTAAACTGAGTCTCACTTCACAGGGACGAGAAGTTGCTGTTAGCGTTGATGCGTGGCATCTCCTCTGGTGACGTGAAATGACTTATCAGTCCCTTTTGGGAGCAGGAGAGAAGGCGGGTCGTGCCGTAGATCTGCCCCAGTCCCGAATGAGCAAGAAATGCCCGCTCGCAGCTGGAAAGTACGACGGCTGCCTCAGGGAGAGCTGGAGTCCGGAAGAAACCGTTCCGGGATATCCTCTTTGCGATCCAGGCAGCCCGCCCTGCTGCGAACCCTTGGAGTAAATCCCGGCTCCCCCGCTTCCCGACCCTGGGCCCTTGGTCGTTTAGCGCCTGCCAGCCTCAGTTTCCACATCCGCGAGATGGGAGCATCCTCCTGCTCCATTCGCTACTCGAGGTCACTAACGCGTCTTCTCCCCGCCCCGCCCTCTGCTTCCTTCCAGAGCCCCGAGCCCAGCCTTGCCTCAGGAGCCGCCGTCACCCCGCTGCCGTCACCCCGCTGTCGCTGCAGGCGTGGAGCCATGAGCCGCGTCCTGGGCTGTGCCGTCCCCCTGGGGCTGGTGCTGCTGGTCTGCGGAGCCCAGGGCTCCTTCCTGCCCAACGTCACCCGCCTGGGGGAGCTGCTGGGCAGGTACCAGCGGGCCGAGCCGCACTCCCGGGCGCGCAGGGCCATCCCCAGGGCGGACAAGGAGGAGATCCTCATGCTCCACAACAAGCTGCGCGGCCAGGTGTACCCTCCGGCCGCCAACATGGAGCACATGGTGAGTGCCGGCGCCCCGTTCTGTCCCCCACTCAGTGCGCGGTGGCTGGGCAGGGTCCCTGGCTGCGTTCTTGACACTCTGCCCAAACAGGGCTCCCCGTGCGAAGCCCACCTCCTTCCCGATGCCTGCGTGTCACCCCGTTGCGGCTGAGCCCAGAGCCCAGCCCCGCCTCTCCCGCCGGGGCGCCTGGAGGCAGAGGGGCCGGGCCAAGAACAGGGCTCTGCCGATGCCCGCCCAGCTCTGCCACGTGCTAGCCATGTGACCTTGGCAGCTCCATAGCCAGTTTGAGCCTCAGTTTCCACTTTGAGAATCGTCACTCGCATGGTTCCCGTGACCGTGAAAGGAGCGGCCACACGGAGGCCACACGGACCCTGTCCTCCGGCTGCAGCGCCGGCCGCGTCTCCTCCGAGCAGCTCCGGGCGGCTCAGGTGTAGGGAAACAGGCTGTGTCCAAGAGGAGACAGCAGGGGACGGGTAGGGGACGGTCCCCACAGGACCTGCAGAAACCCACGCTCGGGCGTGAGGGGGAACTGGCGCCCCCGTCTCCGGCTCCAGCCCCAGCTCCCCACGTGTATCTCCAGGGTCCGCTGGAAGTTTCCACGTGGATGTCCTCAGGCCTGCGGCCACACGACCCAGGAGGACGTTCTCAATAATGGGGAGCTCTGTCCCACGCGGTGGCCATCATCCACGGGTGGCTTTTGAAATGTGGACAGTGTGACTGAGGGGCTCAATTTTTAATCTGATTTCATTTTAATTAACTTAAATTTAAGGAGCTGCTCGTGGCTGGTGGCTACCAAATTGGACAGCGCAGGTCTGATGGGCCAGAGAGAAAACTTGTAACCACACCTCACCCCAAAAGTCATCTCCCCTCTGGCAGCCCTGGCGATGCCATTCTCCCTTCTCCCAGCCCTGGGAAGTAGGTGCTGCTATTGTTCCCATTTTACAGATTAGAACACCGAGGTCACAGCTGGTTAGTGGCGGAAGCAGGGTCTGGACCCAGGCTTGGCTGGCTGCGGGGCCCGGGCTCTCAGCCGCCACTCCACGTCCAATTTACCCCCGCCAGGTACCAGAGACCCTTTCTCCAGCATTTTCTGTCCTCTGTCTGCATCCTGTCCCCACCGCACCCCTGGGGCCGGGGCAGGGGGGTTAATCGCCTCCCCGCTCACGCTCTTCGACTCCTTCTGAATCCTGCCGTCGTATTCCCTTCCTAAGTCCCCACTTCCTTACGAACTTTCTCCTGCTCTGCCGCCTCCTGCGGCCCCGGGTACCAGCTGGAGCCCACCTGCTTCGCGCCTGGCATTCGAGGCTTTCTTCTAAAAGAAGCCCTTGTCCGTCTTGACAGCTCTGTTCTCTCGCCTTGCTTCCGCCAGAGAGGGTGGCCGCTTCCCCCGAAGACGCTCCGCAGGGGCAGCCACTGCGCCTCTCCCGGGCTGGTCCCTCCCCCGAGCCGTGGCCTCATCCCACGCGACCGTCCTCCCAGACCACAGCCCCGCTCCTCCCCTTCCCCTGGACACGCAGTCGAGCCTCACTCTGCTTGGACGGCTGTGGCCCTTGTGGTCAGAGACCCCCCGTGCGCCTGCGCATGCCTCATCGTTGGTCCCCTGGGACACACGGGATCTCAGACCAGTGGCTGCCCGTCTGGGCAGAGCCGGCCGAGCGAGGCTGTCCCGTGGAGTGCCTTACAAAGCTGTGCCCTTTCTCCCTCCAGAAAGTTGTCCAGACATTTAGTCCAAAGGGGTTGTGCTAATTTTAGGAGGAAATACGGCACTCTCAAAATACTAATGCATTGGGCAGCTTGTGCAGGCTTTTTCAGGTTAAAAGTATAGAAAAGTAGGGTAGATTCTTTGGGGCTTTGGGTGCAGACTCTGCCCCCATCCTCCCTGGGACGGTGGTTGGATGCCGGAGCAGGAGCCAGCCTGCCTGGGTTCAGTTTCCCGACTCTACTTGCTAGCTGTGTGACTCTGGGCAGATGACATAGCCTCTCTGTTTATGTGTCCTCACCTCGAAGCCTGCCTTTGCCAGCCTGGGAAGGAGCTCAGAAGAGCTCTCAGAAAGCCAGTGGGGCCGTGGCCCACTCTGAGGGAGGGAGGCCATTGGAAGAGGTCAGAGAGGCAAGCAGGGACACACCACACAGGGCTTTGAGGCCAGGTGAGGAGTCTGCCTTTTATTCCATGAAGAGGAGGAGAGGCTACATTTACAGCTTTGAAGCGCTGCTGCTACTGTGCAGAGGGGGAGGCTTGGGGGGCCCAGCGAGATGCAGGGAGGCGTCCAGAGGCAGCTCATTCGGGCGGGTGAGGGGTGACGGGTCCAGCTCTTGGCGACAGCGTGCAAAGCACAAAGAGCACAAAGCCAGACAAACTGGGTTGTCAAGATTCTAACTTCCTGGCTGTGTGAGCTCAGGCAAGTTCCTGAACCTCTCTGAGCCTCAAGATTTGTTTTTTTTTATCAGCAACACTGGAAAAACAAAGTACAGCCCAAGTACAGCTTGTTGTGGGAATTAAGTAAGAAAATGACAGCTCTGACAAGCAGCAGGTGTTCAGACAGCGGCAGCTTCGGAGGTTCAGGGCCCAGCACCGCCCCCGGCACACAGTAGGTGCTCAAGAAAGTCCACTTCCGTACTACCACCGTGTGTTTACGGAGGGCTACTTTGTACCTCAAGGGAGGCTGTGCTTTTGTTTAACCCTCCGCAAGATCATATGCCAACAGGTATCATTAACGGAGGCACAGAGAGGTGGAGCTATTTGCCCAAAGTCACACAGCCAGCCGGGGGCAGAGTCTGGCGCCCTCCCCGGTCCCCCAGAGCCAGCACTCTCGCCACCCCTCACTGTCCTGTTGTCCCGAGAGGGAGTGAGGAGTGTCCCCTGTCCCCCTGCAGAAGGAGGAGGACTAGCAGGGGGCCCTCAGCTGGGAAAGCACCCGCTGCGTGGGAGCGGGGAGCCCCGTGAGGCAGGAGCGAGCCCGTGGGCCGGGCCTCGTGCGCGCGGGAGAGTCCAGATAGCCAGCGCTGCGTGGACAGGGCCTGAGCTGGCCGTTTCTGGAAGGGTCTTGGTGTGGGTGCTGGCTGCGCCCCACCCCTGCCCACACCCCGCACCCATGGAGCAGCGGTGCGGCCCTGCTTGGAGAGAGGGTCGCCACCTGCCTTAGGGCGGGGGAGGGTGGTGGCAGTGCAGGGACGCGCCTGAGCGGGAGCCACCGGCTTTGGAGGTAGGACAGAGCTGAGCCTAAGTCCACGCGCTGGCTGTGTCACCCCGAGTGGGCCGTGCAGCCTCCCTGAGGCTCGGTCTCCCCACCTGTAAGCCGGGAGGCAGCGTCTTTCACGGAGCCGCTGGGAGGACGGAGAGCCCGCTGGGTGCCGGGCACAGAGCAGAGGCCCCAGGAACACCCTCCACCCTGGACTCCGGGTCTCACCAGCGCCCTGAGGGAGCCAGTGTGCCACTCAGATAACGTGCGATTGCCATGCCCGGCCCGGGAGTGGCGGCAGGTTACTGCCGTGGCCAGCACGTGCCCGCGCTCCCGGCGAGAGCACAGACGCCAGGCTCCTGCAGCCCTGCCTGCACGTCCTGGTTCTGCAACCGGCCGGCTGCAGGATCCTGGGCAGATGACGATGCTTCGCCGAGCCTTGATTTTCCTGGCTGTGAAATGGGCATAAGGATGTCTACTTCCAAGGCCGCTGTTACGATGCAATGAGCGGATTCCGGTAAAGTCCGAGGCCTGGCGCAGCTGGTGCACGTTCCAGGCGTCCGAGACGGCGCACCCCTCCTTCCGTGCAGCGTGCGGCGTGCCGTGCCGTGGTCGTTCAGTGTGGCCTCTCCCGTCTCACAGACACTGAGGCCAAGAGACAAGGGACACGGCCCCGGAGCCGGCGCTGCTGGCCCGGTGCGGACCTGCCACTTCCCACCCGCCACCGTAGGGACCCAGTGATGCGGCAGCTGGACGCGGCCGCGGGAGTCTGACACCCTTTCCCGACCCTGACCTGGTCCCATTTCTCCCGCAGACCTGGGACGAGGAGCTGGAGAGGTCCGCGGCAGCCTGGGCCCACGAGTGCGTCTGGGAGCACGGGCCCGCCAGCCTGCTGGTGTCCATCGGACAGAACCTGGCCGTCCACTGGGGCAGGTGAGAGCTGCAAGCCCCCCGCCAGCTGCCTGGTCCCCCTGCTTGTGAACTGGCCTCCACTGCCAGGCCCCTACTGTGTGCTGGGCCTGGTGCTTGTGCCATTGTCAAAATGAGCCCCCAGGGAGGAGGAAGAAGGGTGGGGGGAGAGAGAGAGGACACCCATCCCACCGGCATGTGGGGAAACCGAGGCTCGGCGCCCAGGAACACGTCTGAGTAACTGACAGCACGTGCGGCAGCCGGGCGGCCGACTCAGACACTGACGATTGGATTAGGGCTCCCAGACTTGGCGTTTTCCATTTCCCCTCTGTAGAAGGTTCTGGAGCCCCAGCTGCTGCTGCCAGGCAGGACCTGGTGGGTGAGCTGGGGATGGGGATGTTTGCTCCTGTCATGGTGGGTCATCGCTGTCCTCCCTGCCGCGCCGCATCTGGGCTCCGCGCTCGGTCTAAGACCAAGCCGGGTTCCACCTCGCCGGGAAGGTGCTTCTCCCCGTCCCCGTCATCCCTGCAGCCACCGGGAGGCTCGCTGACCCCCGTGGACCGCTGAGGCTTCTTGGCCTGGCAGTACCTTTGGTCCTCTTTCCCCGGGAGGCGTTGGCAGTTGTCTATTCAATGTAGCTGGCTGGCCTTCCCCAGAGGCAACCGGGCCACCTATCTGTGCACCCCGAGAGGCTGGAAGTCCCCTCCCCGGGCCGAGGCCTGGTTTCGTTGGGGAAAGTGGAGGAAATGTCTTTTGACCACAGCCAGGGTAACCACTAATGACCAATTAGAACACAAGGACCAGCCAGTGAGCGGGCCGCGCCCAGAGTCCTGAACCCGCGTCCTCACACCCATCCGGGCCTGGGTCTGCTTCTGTTTGGCCCCAGTGATCAAAGAGTCGGACTGGATTTCGGATGCCCGCTGCTGCTCAGGGTTAGGGCTTGCTCTCACTTCCGACCCAGAGATCGCGGGCCCGTGAGTCTGGGATAGGGGAGTTTTCAGGACAAACTAAGGCAGGTGTCACGATGGGTCAGACCTAGGACTTCACGGATGCAAAGCGACACCGTGGTTTTTCCTTTGGTCAGTTTTGCTTTTTATAAAAACGATTTCACAATAACATTAAAAGAAAATGTCTAAAGGGGGCAAAACCGATGAATTCCACCAGCCTTTTCATTCTTCTGGGCTCCTCTGTAGCATTTGGCTAAACGCCGACATATTTTTACGTAGCTGTAACTGTAGCCCAGACGGCCCTGAAACCTCTTCTTTTCTTTCCTTTACAATAGCAGAAAATGTTCTGCTACACGGCTGTCAGATCACCGACATGTACAGGCGGCCCGGCAGTGGGTGGGCCACACGAGGGTCCAGTCCGCCCTGCAGCTTGGGTTTCGTGTGCTGTTGTCTGCGTTAGCGTGACGGGCTCATCTCAGTCGGGTGACTCCAGGGTCGTGTTGGTGGGTCAAAGGTCATAGAGACTTTTCCCTCCTTCTCAAGGGATTTTGCTAACTTGCTCTCCAAAAGAGCCTCCTCCCTCTGCACTCCCCAGGGGCGGCCGAGGCCTCATTTCCCCACAACCGCACCAGCACCGGTGACCCGTGTGACCTCGAGTCTGGGGAGAAGGTGGGAGACAGTCTCCTCCTGCTCCGTAGCCCCCCGCTGCGCGCACGGCTTTCCCCAGGCCGGCCCCAGGAAGGGAGGCCGTTCCTGGGGCATGTCACTGACCACGCCATTCACGCTGGGTCCAAACAGTAATTGTTACAAGACCGCTAACTGCCTCTCTGACCACATCGCTCTTACAAACGGTCATTTCCCCTGCGAGTTTGCTTGTTATTGAAACCACTTTGTTTGCACTTACTGGTGACAGTGTGACCGTGGGTTTGCCTGCAGTTTATTTTCTTTCCTGGTTTAAAAAAACACAATGGGGCCGGGCGTGGTGGCTCCTGCCTGTAATCCTGGCACTTTGGGAGCCCGAGACGGGAGGATCGCTGAAGGCCAGGAGTTTGAGACCAGCCTGGGCAACATAGTGAGACCCCATCTCTACGAAAAAATAGAGAAATCGGCCAGCACCTGTAGTTCTAGCTACTTGGGAGGCTGAGGCAAGAGGACTGCTTGAACCCAGGAGTTCGAGGTTGCACTGAGCTGTGATGACACCTCTGTACTCCAGCCAAGGCAATTGCGAGAGACCCTGACTCAAAACAAACCCCACAAAACCACAATGGTGTCAGTCTGGCAGCTGGAGCTGAGGCGAGGGGCTGTGGCCACCAAGCTGTGACCTCACGGAGGACGTCCAGGGAGAAGTGCAGCTGGCGGCTCCCCCAGGAGCTGTCGGTGGTGCTTGGGGCCCTCCTCACCGCGGGGCTGGGCGAGGCAGGGGGCGAGGTAAGAGCTGTAGCTGATAAAATCCTAAGTAAAAAGTTTTTGGGAGCATTCGCCCACCTGACTGCAGAGCTCTGCACACCCGGAGGCTTCTGTTGAATGAGCTTCTGCTTCATATCTGGGTCCTCGGGTCCCCCAGCAGCTAAGGAATGAGGCCCGTCACGACAACACAGCCGTGTCCTCTCTGCATATCACCTCTTCAATTTTTTTTTTTTTTTTTTGAGACAGAGTCTCACTGTGTTGCCCGGGCTAGAGTGCCGTGGCGTCATCCTAGCTCACAGCAACCTCCAACTCCTGGGCTCAAGCGATCCTCCTGCCTCAGCCTCCCGAGTAGCTGGGACTACAGGCATGCGCCATCATGCCTGGCTAATTTTTTCTATATATTTTTAGTTGTCCGATTAATTTCTTTCTATTTTTAGTAGAGACGGGGTCTCGCTCTTGCTCAGGCTAGTTTCGAACTCCTGAGCTCAAACAATCCGCCTGCCTCGGCCTCCCAGAGAGCTAGGATTACAGGCGTGAGCCACTGCGCCCGGCATCTTCAATTTTTTAATTAATGTTTTTCTCTATGTTGACTTTAAATGCACTTTAAATGTACTCACGTCTTGGTTTTATCTTGCGCAATAATATCTTGTGCGAACCCCGCGAAATACGGGGTTCACGGGCTGCATATGTTCCCCCAGTGCACAGGAAAATAAATGCTTGACGTAAGAAAGGACTCCCTGAGAGCCGGGTAAGGGCTCCCTGCACACACGTGGCCTACGGGCCGCCTTTCTGGCTTCAAGCAGCTTTACCAGGTACTGGCTAGACTTGGGGGCTGTTGCCCGCCCCCGGCTGCTGCTGTCTCCGCTGGGGGGTGTGCGGCGGCCGGGGCATGACGAGCTGTTTCTGCCCTGTAGGTATCGCTCTCCCGGCTTCCACGTGCAGTCCTGGTACGACGAGGTTAAGGACTACACCTACCCCTACCCCCACGAGTGCAACCCCTGGTGTCCGGAGAGGTGCTCGGGGGCCATGTGCACGCACTACACGCAGGTAACTCGGCGATGGCCACAAACCCCAAACCCGGTCATTCATCTCTTCCCTGCCCCCATCCCGGGATTGTTGCCAAATCCATAAAACCTTAGTATTTGTCTTTAGTTCGGTGCTACTCAAAGTCTAGCTGGTGGAACAAGCTGTCTGTTACCAGTTCACGGCAAGATCAGAAACTGAGAGTAAGCACTAGAAACTTCTATGGCAATTTTACATTGCTGGGGCATTTTCACTGTGTGTGGTGGTTGGCTGGTTGGTTGTTTTTTTAAAGAAATGCCCGTATCTTCAATGGGTTAAGGAAAAACATCTACTTCAGCCTTTCTCTACATACCCCTTTAGTGCCAGCATCTTACACATCCAGGCCAGATTAAGCTACCCTGGTGTGCCTTGTCCTGCAAGCTGTGACACACAGATGTTGTCTTTTCAGATAGTTTGGGCCACCACCAACAAAGTTGGCTGTGCCGTGAACACCTGCCGGAGGATGAACGTCTGGGGAGATGTCTGGGAGAATGCGGTCTACCTCGTTTGCAATTACTCTCCAAAGTAAGGACAAGTCGACATGGTCGTAGGTCTTTTCATCATCTCACATAACAGGGAGGCTAGAGTTTGTTGTGTCTGGGTTAGCTTAATAGCTCAGCAGTATCAATGAGAACTCAGGCTCTTCCCATCTTCCCATTTTACCATCTTCTCCTCATGGTGCCAAGATGGCTGCAGAGCACCGGCATCACATCTTCCCAAGCAAAAGGAAGGAGAATGGTAAAAGGGCTCTCTCCTGAGGGCTTTCTCACCCCTGGCACACTTTCTCCTTCTGTCATTGGCCAGAACTAAACTAATCACAGACAAGGGGAAGCAAGCAGGATTGCCCCAACTGGCTTTGCAAGTCGTCCTCTGGGATCACCTGAGCACAGTCAGAAGTGGGAAGAGCTGTTGGCTGGTCAACCAGCACAGTCTGCCACAGTGGTATTATGAGTATTTTTTCTCTGAAAATGGGCAAAGGATGGCACCCTAGAAAACAGTTGTTCACACCAAATCTGGATTTTCCTGTTTCCCCTCCTAAGAGGGACCACTTCCGTCTTCCTATCGGAGCACCCCTCCGTGGCATCCTGTGTCATCACTGTGTCCTTCAGCCCTTCACTCATCCACCTCGATCGCTCATCAGGCAAATATGTGCTGATTCTCGGCTTGTGCAGTTCACAGCCTGTGGCTGGCACGCTGGCCGAGGCCGCCGCCGTCCTTGCCTGTCCCCTGCACACAGCGGGCCCTGGGGCATGCTTGCCCAGTGACTGGGTGAAACGGGAATGACCTCATTTATTTGGTTTGGGTCGGCAGTGGCCGAGGGGAGGTGGGACGAAGGGGGGACGGCTGGGGTCTGGAGGAAAATAGCTCTGCAGAAACCATCTGGCAGCCGGCGGCGGCTCCGTCTCAGCAGCCCACACGGATAAGCGCAGGGCTCCGTCATCGCTGGGGAGGGACGCAGGCGCCTCCAAGGTGGTGGATTCCCGGCAGGGCAGCAGGTGGGGAGTGAGGAATAATTTGATTTGACTCTTTGCATAAAAACATATACTGGGAGAGCCTATCGGAAATGAAACTCCGCCTTTCTAGCGCAGCCCCCACTTCTGGAAAAAGAAACAACCTACATAGGGTAAAATACTAACATGCTCATCTTGAGTGCGCGGCGCGACACGTTCGCACCTGTCAGTCTGCCGGGGCTGCTGGAGCGAAACGCCGCGGAGTGGGCGGCTGGAACAGCAGCTTGGAGGCCGGAAGTCCTGCAGTCCAGGTCCGGCGGGTCGGGCTCTGGCGGGGGCTGGCGGACGGCCACCTTCTCGCCCTGTCCCCACGTGGCAGAGAGAGATAAGGACACTAACCTGTCGGATCAGAACCCCAGCATGGGCCTCACTTAACCTTCACTAGTTTCACCAAGGCACTGTCTCCAGATGCAGTCACACCGGGGGCTGGGGCTTCGACATGTGGATCTGGGGACAGGCACGCTCAGTCCTTGGCGATAGCACACACCAGCGCCCCTGCCGTCCAGACCTGCACAGAGGACGTTTATTTCCAGAGCCCCAGAAGGCTCCCTGGCGTCCCCCAAAGTGACACCGTCCTGACCTCTTTCCCCACGGATCAGTTGTGTCCGGTTTGGAGCCTCAGCTGAGGGGGGCCCCGTGTCCCTTACGGCACACTCTCTGGTCTTTTGCTTAATGTCACACGTGCGAGACTCGTCCGTGGTGTTGCGTGTTCCCTGGCCCTTCCCCACTGATCGCTGCGAGAGATTCCACGCTGTCCACGGCCTCTTTCTGGAAGGGAGAAAGTTGGGCTGTGCAGGACACCGTCCCCGGCGCCAGGGCGGGGACAGTGGCGGAGGGGACGATGGCTGTGTGGTGCAGGGCTCACATTCGATCCCCGGGCTCACACCTCGAGAGCCCCGCGTGTGAGGGGAGCGCAGTGGCAGTGTGCGTGTCTACGAGGAAACGTGGACCCTAGAGACAGGGGAGAACTGGGCTGGGGGAGCAGGACAGGCCGCGAATCTCTTTATTGACTGAACAAACGATGATTGCATAGCCAGGAAGGAAGTTTCTAGAATGAATCACAGAGACTGGTCCTCAGTGGCTCACGGCTCCAGCTTGCGCTGCTGCAGGCCCAGGTGCTGTGGGGGGGCTCAGGAGTTCTGCTCACCACCTGCCACCTGGCCCTCGGGAACGCCAGAGGGAGGTGGATGGCACCCCTGACCCACAGAGGGGCCTTTGACCCGCCCCTATGCAGAGCGTGAAAGGCTCTGGGCCCGACAGCCTGGGTTCAAATCCCAGCCCCACCACTCGCTCCCTGTGTGACCTTGGACAAGTGGCTTCACCTCTCTGTGCCTCAGCCTCCTCCCGGAAGGACTGGATTCCAGCCTGCCCTCCCGGGCTGCGGGGAGGATGGATGGGAGCACCGTGGGTGCAGAGACCAGGGCGGGGCTGAGGCAGGAACGCGGTGAACGTGCGCCGTCTCTGGACAAGCTGACTTTGTGCATTTGGGAAACGGCTCAAGGGGGGACGCGGCAGGTTTTCCGCGCAGAGGCAAACGGCCGACGGGGTCCCGGGTGTGTGAGGGGCAACGCTGCAGAAGCGGGGCCAGCAGGGAGGCGGACAAAGGTGCCAGGTGGAAGGGCACCTCGTAGCTGCCTGCGGTAGAGTCCCGGGGATTCTGGAATTCTCTAGACTCTCCGTGCACAGAAGGGCCCAGGACTCGCCCGCTTTGCGCGGCGCACACCTCCCCCAACCCGGCGGCGCCTGCGCAGGGCCAGGGTGGGCCTGGGGAGAGGCCGTGCGCCGGGGCCTCTAGTGGCGGCCCCTCCTGACGTGTTTTTGGTCTGTCCTCAGGGGGAACTGGATCGGAGAGGCCCCCTACAGAAACGGCCGGCCCTGTTCCCAGTGCCCGCCCAGCTACGGAGGCGGCTGCAAGAACAACCTGTGTCACCGAGGTAGGAGACGCCCCCCAAACCCTTCGCGCGGATTCGCCTCGGTCCGGCTCACAGAGCGTCAAAGTCACCCTCCCCCTGCCCTCTGGCGACCCCTCGGTGCATCCGTCCTCCCCCTGGAGACCCCGCTGCCCCGGACACCCCAGCCCCACCCCGCATGGCGTCTCCTGGGCCAGACGCCGACGCCCCCTCGCCGGCCAGCGTCCGCAGTTTGGTAGAAACAGACCATTGAGCAAGAGAGCGAGAGCAGACGCGCTGTTCCCCAGGAGCTCCCTGGCGAGCAGCCGGAAGGCCGGGGGGCGTCGGTCCCCCACGCCGGGCTGCCTGGCGCGTAGCACAGCAGCAGGCAGCGCCGGGGCTGTCAGAGGCCGCGTGATTCCTACCTCACCCCCCCTGTTTGTTTTTGGCCCATCTAGGACATTTCCACTTTTTCTGCTGCTATAAATAGCACACGTTTTTGTGCCTAAAGCATTTCTCACGTTCCGGACTATTTCCTCGGGATCCAAGGGGTTATGTCCCAGGAGGGGCCACCTGGGCCCAGGGGTCGGCCGTGCTTTCGTGGTTGAAATTGGGTTTTTTCGTGGCACCCTCACAGCCTGGCGGCAACTAAGAGGGTTGGCAGAGGGCTGGGTGGGCAGGAGGGAGCAGCCCCCGTGCGTCACCTTGCCTGCGGGGCAGGCCGGTGGGCTCTGGGGTGAAGAGCAGGTGGGCTACAGTGGGGGTCCCAGACCCTCCCCAGCCGGCTGTTCACAGCGGACTCTGCCCACGTGTGTGGGGGGCACATTTGGAGGGGGCACGAGGACAGAACGATCTGGACACCAAGGGAGGGGACGGCTCTGTCTGCAAAATCAGCTCTGATAAACCAGCTCGTGCCTGGTCCCCTGGGTCGTGCATCACATGCAGTGGCTCTGGTGTGACCCCCTCCTCCAGGGAGCCTTCCTGGACTTCACAAACGGTGCACCTGCCCCATGCTCATGACCCCCCAAACTCCTCGTGAACCTTCACTGCCCTGTTGTTTCAACGGCCAGCTCCCTCCAGGGCCTCCAGGGACACGTGGCAGGGTGTCCTGCTTGCTGTCTGAGTACATATACCCCCAAAGTCCAGTCATTTTCAAAGAACAAACACACACACTTAGATGCCAGTTGACCCACCTAATGAAGCCCTGGGTACTTATTTCTTTATTTTTGGTGGAAAATACCCGACTTTATTGGGCAATCGTCCCGATTTTCTGAGCTAAGCATGCGGAAAGTCTGCTCTAAAGCGGCTTATCTGCGTAAGCTCCTTAATGGGCACGTATTGCGGGAGCCTGGTGAGGTCTTGACCTCTAATGGAGACAGCGCGGGGATAAGGATATTAAAAAAAGAGCTTTTCTTTTTTAATACCCCCCAGGCCCTCCCCATGTGGCGATAAAAGGCATGGGCTTCGCAGAAAGGCGGTTTGGCTCCCAGCCCGGCCACTTCCCGGCTGCGTGAGCCCGGGCAGCTCACTTAGTCTCTCTGAGCCTCAGTTTCCTCATCTGTGAAATGGGGCCCGATCGAGCCTCCTAAGGCAACAGACACTGACGTGAGAAAATGCCAGGGAGGGCCCAGCCGATGCTTGGCCCATGTTCAGCAAATGTCAGCTCCGAGCTTTGTCACCAGTTTTAGAGCCAGGTGGGAGCAATGTCGCTGAGCAATGTCGATGAAGCTCTGGGCCCCGAGACCCCCGGCCCGGCGCTGGGCGGCGTGCAGGGCAACCTCGCAGTGACCTCTGCTCGGAATTTCCCCAGGCCCGCGCTGGGCCAAACGGGGCATGTTAATTAGGACGTGCGCAAATTCAGCCTGTCCTCTGGGCAGACGTTCCTCTCTTCATGTGTGCGTCTGAGGGCAAGGCCTGTCTGCCCATTTTCTTAAATAGGGAGCCCTCAACGGCTGTAGACTGCTTTACCAAAGTACATTCAGCTAAATAAAGCTGCGATTATGAGGGGCAAACATCCTACAGGCCAGTGGAAGAAAACTCGGCTTATGCCGGAGCCAGCTCCAGCTTTCCGTAAAGGGCAAACCTGAATGGCCCCATTGACAGGAAGAGTGGACGCGTGTCCAGCGGCCTTTGCAAACCCGGCGTCTTCCTGCAGTTTCCACCTATAGCTTTTGCTACCAAGGGTGCTTTCAGAGTTTCCCCTCCCGAACGTCTTTAGTCTTTGTTGCTGGACATATTTTTTCCTTTAGGGGACAGAATTCTCTGGGGGTTTTGGTTATTCATTCATGCAGCGAATTTTCTCGAGCAACTACTATGTGCCGGGTGCCAGGTGTGCAGTGGGGTGTGAAGCAGGCTGGGCCCTGGTCTCCGGGAGTTTATAGCTGGTGGACGAGGCGGACGGTGGCGAGATGACAGCCATGCTGCCGGGAGCACTGCTTGGTGATCCGTGAGCACGTCCGAGAGCTCATTGCTTTTGAGAAGTGGAAATAAGATTTAGGGGTTGATGAACACTTACTTGATGAAACTTGGATTTTAATGCAAAACCACAGAGAGGCCTGCAAGGGGGCTCTCTCCCTTCTGCTTAAAATCGTTCTGACCCAAACACTTCCATGCTCTTTTTCCTTTGAGCAGCTTGGAAGGCAGGGCTATGTCTGCGGGGCAGGGGGCATGTGTTGTAAACACAGGGGCAGAGACAGATGCCCATGTTTCCTCTTTGATGAGGCCACACGAGCCAGCGAAAATCGCAGCCAGTGTCTTTGCTGTGGCTGGAATTTACACTTGGAACGCTGGGGGTCGGACTGCAGACCCTGATGGGCAGTTCCTCACTGTGTTTCCGGATGAAAACTGGGAGATCCACGGACTGATGTCTAACAAGTGCAACTTGTTCGGTTAATTAAAAAGTTTCAAAGCGTGAGTGTCATGGTCATGGTGGGGGAGATGATAATATACAGCGTCCTTGGGTGGGAGAAAGTTTGGGACTGGGCGAACTACGTTTTTGTTTTTAACCAGGAATTGGGTCTTTGGATATTTCTCTGTGATGATTCCAACATTACTGGAAAGCAGAACTCCAGTGCAGAGAAAGAAAGCGAGCTGGTCAGGGAGGGACCAGAAGGGACCAGAATGTGCTGGTGGTGAGGGACGGTGGCTCCCAAGAGCATTGCCACTGGCCTTCGTGTCTCTGATGGGTGCACACTGAAGAGGACCCCATCCCTGATGAAAATCTGGGGGCAGGGGACCCGCCGGGGAGACGGCTACAGCTTTGGGCCGGTGGCCGAGGCAGCTTCTCGAAGCTGCTTCCTTGGGCAGCTGGCTGCGTGGAGGAGGTGGGGCAAGAACCCGTTACGATAAGCCGGGTGTGGGCGCCAGGGCCTTCTAACCCCTGGTCGGCCCAGCTGCTCTCGGGTCCAAAGCAAACACGCGAGCAGAGGACCTCTCCAGCTCGTCCCGGCCAGTAGAATTCCACCTGGCCAGGTCTGCTCGGAAATGTAACTTTCTCTTTGCGGCTGAAATGATTCTTTGTAAAACCAAACCTCAAACAAGCTCAGTTTTCAAATTGCTTTTTCCCCCCAAAGTGCATTTTGGTTGAATCTTGTGTGCTATTTTTTCTCCCTCGCCACTATTAAGAAGAGACCTACCACCAAAAACCTGAGACGGACGAGATGAACGAGGTGGAGGTAGCTCCTGCTCCCGAAGAAAAACACGTCTGGCCCCAGCCGAGGGTGCCCAGACCCACCAAGCCCAAGAAAACCTCGGCGGTCAACTACATGAGTGAGTCGGGCATCCTCTGCCCCGCCCCGCCCCGTCCTCTGCCCCGTCCTGCCCTCTGAGCCGCCTCTGGGTGGGGGGCAGAGGGGGGCTGGGGGGTTAAAAGGCCTCCAGGTTGACAAACAGTGGGCAAAAGCACAGCTCTGAGATGTGTTTTAAAAATGATATTTTTAAGTCGTTTCGAAAACAAGCATTATAGGCGTTGCACTTGGGTGACATTTTTTCCTCTCCAGGCAGGTATTTTAAGGTTAGACCTTCCCTTGTCCTTTCAAAGGGGACCTGAGCTGAAATTGGGTTCCTCTGGGGACTGCTGGCCCCTCTAAGGGAGGACACGGGGCACACGGCATGGAGGCTGCCGCGTCCATCACCGGCCCCAGCTCCGTGGCCCGCCTGTTACTCGACTCTCTGAGACTCAGTTTGCTCATCCACATAGTGGGGTAATAACGCCTACACCAGGGTCACTGTGAGAGTTTCTTGCAGCATTGTGGGTCACCTGGTGTCGGCTGAGGTCTCCCTGTACTTCGAGATCATCATGCCGTTGCCTCCAACATCCCCTATGGGATGTTGCCCCCGAGACCTCTGAAAATCCCCCAATACCAAGTGTTCCCACGCTCACCTCCTGACCCCTGGGCTCCCCGGGCACCGCAGCTCCTGGAGCTTTTATCCTTCCTGCCTTCCCCTGCCCAGGGTGGCACTTGGCTCCCCTCCCGATGCCCGAGACATGTGGGGCCCCTTGTCACAGCCGCCTTCACTGAGGCCGGGGGGCCGTGGAGGGGCATTTCTTGCAGGCACGGCAGTAGACTGGCCAGACGCCCCTGCTTCTCCCTCTGTCCGCCCCCCAAGCACCAAATGCCATAAAACTGGACTCCCCTTGAGGAGAGGCCTGGCTCACGCTCCCCCTTCTCCCCGTTCTCCGACCACCTCTCCCCTCCTGCACCAGCCTTCCTGTCCTCTTGGGCCTTCAGACGTCTTGCCCCCCCGCCCCGGTCAATCCTTCTGTGGCTTCCTTGAACCAGAAAATATGCCGATGCCTCTTTCCAGAAGTCCCAATGGTGCCATCGTTTCTTTCAATAACGTGCAATTACAGTATCTCTACTCTTCAAAACTGTAACGCAACTCCGAGAGGCTGATATGTCCCCGTAAAATCACAAAACAGGAAAGCTTGGCAAACTTCGTCTTGGCTATGGGGCAGACGGCTTGGTGAGCGTGGCTGGGTCCCCACCCCACGGGCTCGGGTACGGTGTCCACCCCACCTCCTTGTAAGTCCTGCCCGCCAGAGCCCTGTGGGGTCACGGGCCACGTTCACCTTCTCAGTAAACGATCACGAAAAGCCTTGGAGGTGGGTGCCGTAACCATGCCCAGTATTCATGGAGTGGAATCCATCATGGAGTGGAATCCATCATGGAGTGGAATCCATCATGGAATGGAATCCATCATGGAGTGGAATCCATCATGGAATGGAATTCCACGGGATGGAGTTCCAGGAAATGGAACCTCATTTCCACACATGAGGAAGAAGAGAGGGGAAGTTACTTGTCCAAGATCACACTGCCACTATACAGGGCGGGGCTGGGATTCGAGCCTCCCAACTAGAGCTGCAGCCACTAGGCATTGCTCTGGCTCTCGCTACGGCACGGATTACAGAATGTGCCAGAATGTCCCTCGGAATGGGAAGGGGTCTTCTGACCCAAACTCACCCTCCTGCTTTCTTGCTGTGACGTATGTTTCCGACTTCCTCTCCTAGCCCAAGTCGTCAGATGCGACACCAAGATGAAGGACAAGTGCAAAGGGTCCACCTGCAACAGGTAAGGCCTGGGCCGGATCCCCGTCCCGCGCCGCTGACGGCCTGTGTGGCACCCACTGCGGTGGCGGGTCACGTCACAACCTGTGGGCTGATGGCCACCCACACCAGGCTGGGAAGAAACTCATGGGAAATGGTGTTCACTGTTTTCAGCACAGAAGGGGGGCCGGGTTGAGCCAGGAGCTAACTCAGAGTGGCCAGGACACCCCAGAGTCCCCCCGACTGCTGCCACTTCCGAAGAGCTTGCCACACAAAAACGACCCATTTCTGTCAACCTCGACCAGCGTTTCTCAAGCTCGGCACGACTACATTTGGGGCAGAGCATTCTTTCCAGTGGGGGCCGTCCCGTGCATTGTGGGGGGTGTAGCAGCGTCCCTGGCTTCACCTCCCCAGATGCCAGCAGCATTGCCCCCAGTAGTGACAACCAAAAGTGTCTCCAGATATTAGTAAATGT